ATCTTTATTGTTGTATTGAATTTTAATAAATTTATTTAGTTATATTTATAATGTTAATATTCAATAAATTTAATTATTTGATGTTAGTTTCTGAGTTTTGGTATTTGATAAGTGAAAAAAAAAATATTTATATGTTAGAATGACCCGTTCCGGATTCAAAACGACCTGTCTCCCTTCTATAAATACCCTAGGCTATGCAACTTGTAATCACTCTGGAATTTATGATATTAAGAGAGCCTTTGAGCCTTAATATTCTTTCCTTACTCCCCTTGGTCATTTCGGCCACCTATCCTTCTCATCTTCACCGTGAGTGTTCTCACCTTTAGGAGTGGCCTTCATCCATCAATGAAGTGAGCCAAAACCCTAGAGTACCACCTTAGCATTTCATCAAACACCTAGCTTCTAAAAACACCATTCACCCCACTCTCCATTTCTGCCCATTCCACCATATTCCTTCTCTAAATTAGACGCCACCCTTGAGGGACTTGATCCAAGAAGTCAAGGTGTCCTCACATTGATCAACCATTCCAACAATGCAAGCAAGGATGCCATTATTTTGACTATGAGTGTTCTAGTTAAAAAGGAAGGTTGTTCTTAGGCTTCGTAGGATTTTTGTAACATTATGATTTTTCTTAATAAAAAAATTACCTATGATGGAAAATTTATATTATAGGTTTAATTATTTAATAAATTAAGTTTATAATCTAAATAATATTTTATTAGTAAATAAAATGATTCGTAAAATAACAGTTAAATATGAGGCATAAGGGTAGAGAGACGATCCCTAAGCCTCATATGTTATTGATTTGATTTCTATAGATGATTATGTGTATGCTCTGAGGTTGAATTATTGTATTATCCTTGTAATTTCTGCATGAATTATGATTGAATTAATCTAATGATAAATTCCAATTTTTGAGGGTTAGGAATATGAGATTTGGAGGCTTTAAGTTTTTGGACGTATTATTTAGGGATGTAGTGTGATTTGTTTGATTTTGAAAATTTCGATTTAAATACATCTAGGTATTTAAATGGTTGCTCTATATGCGATTAACTAAATGTAGTTTTGTTTGTGATGGATGACCATCCTTGAAGGCCATAAGACCTTGGACATGGTCTATGTGACACCCTCTACTCCAACATACATATACAATAATTATAAAAAAATATATATAATTTTACATCAATAAAAATCAAATTTCCAACTACGTAAGGGTAAAAAGTTCACATTCATAACTTAATCCAAATAACATGCCGGTAAAATTACAAAGAAATAAAACTGAATTTTCCAAAATAATTTAATAAGAACATCTTAAACTAATCCTATCTATGTCCCGATGTCAAATCATTCCATTGGTACCTTCAAGAGATGTGAGACCACAATCAGGGAAAGAAACTACTTAAAACTTAGCTATGCAATCCTTAAGTACACAATTTGTTGAATGAAAGTACCAGGGGAAGGAGAGAGCCAAAGAGGCATCACCATTTTCTGAAAAAGTTATTGACCCCATGTAGTTCATTCACTAAATCATCTATCTTAGGGATTTGGATGCCTTTTATTCAATGATGGCTTTTTTTTTATTTAAAAAAAAATTCGGGGTGTTACAGTCTATGGTTAAGATGCTAAAAGAAGCTATTACAGAGGGGATGTTTCTTAGACCTTTGCTTATCATGAGCATAGAGTATGTGTTCTCCACATAGTTACTTAAACTTCTATCGTATATACTTCGTATAACTTGCTTTCTGTTTCTTTCTATATACTAGTTAAGTGTATAAGTTATTTTTACCCTTGTATTTAGAGGTGTATGTTTCTTTATTTTTAAGTCACACTGTGACACCCTTACTACCCCAACACATAAATTGTAATAATGTAAATAAACTAAGGAAATTGGTAAAATGGTTCACATGAAAATCTTCATATTCTACATCGATTGTTGATAAAACCGATGTAGAATATGACACATTCTACATCGGTTCTATCAAGAATTGATGTAGAATATGACATATTCTACATCAATTCTATTGGTAACTGATGTAAAAATCTCAATAAGCAGAATTACATTAATAGGCAAAATTCATTTACATCAATTAACCCCCAAAATCTCTTATAAAAATATGATTTTCTTCAAATAATAATTATAACAAAATATTATAATTAATAATATTATACAAAATAATTTTCATAAATGATTATTATTAAAAACCTTTAAAGATTCAATCAAACCCATTTAATTAATCAAAATAATTATAAGGAAATAATCTTCATAAATACAAAAATAAATAATAATTATTCGTAGTTTTAGTAGAAAAATTCGGGGTGTTACAGTCTATGGTTAAGATGCTAAAAGAAGCTATTACAGAGGGGATGTTTCTTAGACCTTTGCTTATCATGAGCATAGAGTATGTGTTCTCCACATAGTTACTTAAACTTCTATCGTATATACTTCGTATAACTTGCTTTCTGTTTCTTTCTATATACTAGTTAAGTGTATAAGTTATTTTTACCCTTGTATTTAGAGGTGTATGTTTCTTTATTTTTAAGTCACACTGTGACACCCTTACTACCCCAACACATAAATTGTAATAATGTAAATAAACTAAGGAAATTGGTAAAATGGTTCACATGAAAATCTTCATATTCTACATCGATTGTTGATAAAACCGATGTAGAATATGACACATTCTACATCGGTTCTATCAAGAATTGATGTAGAATATGACATATTCTACATCAATTCTATTGGTAACTGATGTAAAAATCTCAATAAGCAGAATTACATTAATAGGCAAAATTCATTTACATCAATTAACCCCCAAAATCTCTTTCCGGACCAGAGCCCCTCTCTCTACTTTCTCTCTCTAGAACTGTCTCTGTCTGACAAATGAGACCCTCCGGTCCTAAGTCCCTATATATAGCCATTTTCCAAAATTTCCAAATTTCACCCTTAGCACCTATTCACCTCAAATATCCTATTCCTTGAAGTATTTCAACTCCCTAAGCTCTAAAACAACCTCAAATTCACTCAAAAAGACCAGATTTATCTTATGTTCCTATCTTTCAATCTCCTGTCCATCCTATTCCTTTCCATGCAATACTCACAACTCACCATCATATGAAATGCAACATGTATCAACACACAAACAAACATCACTTT